CAGGGAGAGACACGCAGCCATGAGGGAGGACGCAACAGAGAACTGAGGGAGACGCTGACCTAAATTCACAGAGGAATAACAAGGAAGTGAGAACACACTAGGAACACAGCTGACACTAATAACCATAACGTGACAGGGGAGACTGGACTGAACAGAATGAACACGAAAACGTGGGACCTTCACAATAAAACAGGAAACATGATGTGGGAGTGGAGGAGAGGCAGACGAGGGAGCGAGGGAACACGCTGGGGAAACATGGAAAAAATAGAAAAAAACATGAAGGGAACCACGGCACAAGAACTCACACCACAATATAAACACAGACACATAGAGAGACACAGAGGGCAGAGACACAAGGGCGAATCCAATAAACTAAACTGAACAACCTAGGAACCGCAGAATAAATAATGAACTAACAAAATACAAAAACACAAGAAAACTAAGAACGCTGGGTAAAAATGACCAGGACCATGACATCTTCTTCTGTTTTTTCATATATACACTTAATGGCCACTTCATTAGACACACCTAGTCTATTGCTTGTTAATGCAAAAATCTAGTGAGCCAATCACATGGCAGCAACTCAGTCTGCAGAAGTTCAAAATGAGCATCAAAATGCAAAGAAAGGTGATTTAAGTGACTTGGTAAAAAGTCCCATGGTTGCTGATGGTACGCAGGTCTAAGTAATTCAATACCTGCACAGTCATTTTTAGGGCTTACTTAAAATGGGATGGCCAGACTGCTTCAGGCTGAATAGGAAAGCAACAGTAACTGAAATGACTGCTTGTTACAACCAACATATGCAGAAGAGCATATCTAGAAGTGCAACACATAAAACCTTGAAGCAGATGTGCTCCATACAGCAGACCACACCTGGCACCACTCCTGTCAAGAACAGGAAACTGAAGCTACAGTTTTCACAGGTTCACCAATACAGGACTTCTTGGTCTGATGAGTCTCGATTTCTGCTGCAACATTCAGATAGCAGAGTCAGAATTTATTGTAAACAAAATGAAAGAAAAATCTTCTGGTGTAAGGGTGTGGGAAATATTTTCTTGGTACATTTTGGCATCATTGAAACCCCACAGCTTACCCGAATATTGTTGTTGACCTGGCGACAGTGTACACATCTTCTGATTGTTGCTTCAGCATGATAAGGTACCAACAAAGTTCAAATAATCTCAAACTGGTTTCTTCAATATGACAGTGAGCACTGATTTGTACTCAAATGACCTCCAGAGTCACATGATCTGAATCCAATATAGCACTTTTGAGATTTGGTAGAATGGGAGATTCATATCATGGATGTATAGCTGACAAATCTGCAGCAGCTGTGTGATGCTGTCATGTCAGTGTGGTCCAAAATAACTGAGAAATTCTTCCAACTTGTTGTTGAATCTGTGCCACATAGAATTTTAGCAGCTCTGAAGGCAAAAGTGAGTCGAATGCAGTATTAGCAAGATGTAATATAGTGGCTAGTGAATGTATATAATGTGCGTAGTTGAGGTTTTGTGGTACCTTCGCTGTACTTAAATGTTATATAATATAGTATGAGATACTTGGAGTCAACTACATTTCCAAATGTAATCTACCTTTTTATCCACCTGCTTGCATTTGACAGCGATAACATTTCCTTTTTCAGCTTTTTATTCTGCTATTGCTGCTCTTACTTAAGCAAAATAAGCACTTAAATTATCAATAACTTAATAAAGCTTCACATAAGCAGTCCAAGGATAGGTTTAATATTGCTCTTATGCTTGACTTCTACATCACCTGTCTCTCTCTCCTGGAAATGTTTAATTAATTCACAGTTTAATTCATCGCACCGAAACTCCAGTGCAGAAAAAACAAGACAAATAGGACGTCTGAGTTATCCCCTTACAAAAAAACACTTTTTATGTCTCAGGTATGTAGATACGATATAAAGCACTGTGCAAATGTTATGGATCTTATAAGGATGCCATGTATGATTGATCATTCTACAGACAGAAGAAAACAATAAAACGCATAAGCTGTATTCGAATTCTTTACATCTAAAAGCGTTCCCCACCCAGCCAGCAGGCAGGTTCTTTCAAATGCTTGAGGAACTTTGCACAATTGTGTGAATTTAAGCTGTCTCAAGTGCTTCTGTCACTTTTGTAATCCCACACTGATTCCATCTCGGTCTGTGGGGGCCATACCATCTGGTGTAGGACGCCTTGTTCTTTTTGTAGCTGAAGATAAATCTTAATTGACTCTGGCTGTATGTTTGAGGTCATTGTTGTGTGCTACGGACTGCATTTGAGCCCGATCAGATGCCGCTACGATGGTGTTGCTTGATGGGCAAAAGTTTCAACATCATTTGTAATAGTTTAAAAAAAGGAATACATTTTGTAATTTGATGTAATCAAAATTGTGTTAGCCTGATGATTCCTAATAGCTACCTCTTAAAAACTAAAAACCCCATCCAAAAAGTGCAGCCGGCAGATTAAATAAAAAAACTACAACTACCATTTGACCTAGATCTGCTTCCTAAATAAACAACGTGTGCATCTCATCGGCCAGGAAATTGCATTAGTGCACATTAAAGCGACCGTGGAGGGGGGTCACAAGCTGTTTCCTCGGGAGACGCTACCTGCCTGTATTATGTGCAGGAGAGTGAGAGAGGGGAGGAAGGAAAAAAAAAACCTGGGATGCTGCTGTTGCATTTGAATGTGTGCCAGAGAGATCCCTCCTCTGTGTCCTTCACTGCCTCATTTCACTTTGTGCAAAACAGCATCACACCCTCTATTCCTCTGCCCCTTTCTCTCTCCCCGCTGTCTGAGTGACACCTGATATAGCTAGGATGAGCACTGTGCATGTTTTTGTGTGTGTTTGTGTGAGTGTGTACTGCCGGTTGTAGGTCTGCATGTTTCATAAAAGTCAAATTGTCCCATTTGTTCATCCGAATGACCTTAATTTCAGCATGCCTCCTGGCTCTGCGTCTGTGTGTATTGACCAGACATTTTAGATTCGGAGCCAAGATGAGTTACAGCAGTGGAGATGATGCACTGTCACTGCAGAGGTGCAGAGTTAAAAGCTACAAATACTGAATGAAAAGGAGACCTTTTCTTTCACTGGGAAATGAAGACAGATTAGCTTGTGAGCACCTCAAATGACTTTGAAAAAGACTGTAAGAGAGGGGCAAAAATAAATAAATAATCCTGCTTGATAACAGCTGAGGAGGACAGTGATTTAGAGACAGTAGATGGGAGTAGACTGCATATTGATCAAACACCCTCTTCCCCTTTAAATATAGATTTTAGAGAAAATGTGAAGGAAAGTAATTTACTTGCCAGCTATTTCCTATGGATCACTGTGTGCAAATCAATCACTTGTGGAGAGATATTATCACTTAGAGTTAAAGAGTTTCTCACTTTGAAGTAAAACGCCAGATGTCAGTAACTTTGAAAGCAGTTAATGGTGATGGCAAGAATTCGGTATTACCTCTTCTTTGGACGTTAGCTGTTGGCTAATCCCAAACTGTTTTAACAATGTTGAGGTCTGGGCTGTGGGGAGGCCAATCCATGACCGATAGTGTTCAAGTTATGCTTTTGTATCCATGAATGCTTTTACTGCATTGACCGTGGGTTTGGGATCATTGTCATATTGACAAATGAAACCGTTAGCAGAGGGTTTAGAACTTGGATCAAAGTCTGATGGTACATTTCAGATTTCATAATTACATCAATTTTGACAAGATCCCCAGCACCACTACCTGACATCCAGCTCTAAAACCATCACAGAGCCTTCATTGTGTTTTACAGTAATCACTCACTAATGATTCAAATCAAAAGTTTCCCATCTGGATTCACCACTCCATCAGACCTGTTGCCACTGATTTTCAGACCAGGGCTTGTGTGGAGATACTTTAGTGTTTTCTCTCTGTTTCCTTTCCTTAAGAAAGACTTCTTGACTGCACCTTTTTAACTGACATCATCTCTGAGGAGGCTTCAGTGATCAGCTAAAAATGCAGGATCTACCAGTGTACCACTGTGTCAGATCTCTGAATAAAATAAAATAAAATAAAATAAAAGGAACTGCTATAAGTAGTTTTCAGGCCTGCCATTAATTGACACTGCACACCGTGCTTGGATATGTTTTCAGCTAAAACCTCTTTAAGAATCACCTTGTTGCTGCCTAAATGCTATTTTATGCCTTTATAACCACATTAGCGTTGGAATTTTACAAGTATTAGATAAAAGAAATGGGAAAAAATATATGCTTTGTCACAGTTAGTAAAAAAGTGCCTAAAGATAAAATGTAAAATTGGTTCTTTGCTGAGTTCTCTGTTCTGTGTAGACACAACACTGGTTCATCCCATTAGTTAGGAGCCTTTTTATGATTTTAATGATTCATATGTCAGTGTTAAGTAGCTTCTGAAAATCGTAAGGAACAAGGACTGGACTGGAAATGAGTAAAAAAGCAGCCAGTGTCCAAGGAAAACCATCCAGAGAACTATTGATCAAGCGCACTTTATTCAGGCTCTAAACTCTCTTCTAAACCCAGTTATTGCAGTCACATGTCAGCCATTGTTGTTTTTGATGTTTGGTTATCTTTTCATATACAGAGAAGGTTTCAGTCGGCAGCACTTTGTCAGATATTTTTTTAACAGTTTTATTTTTCTTCCTATGAATGAAGAAGCTACTTTTTTTTAGGGATATGATAATAACTTAGACACAGCTCAAAAAACTATTCATCTCTCTGAGCTCATATAGCCAAATGTGCATTGATGGATGAGTGATCTATTAATTCTTAAGGATAATATTCATAATTTAAAATAGCTGAGATGTGTTTTGTGTGTGTGTGTGTGTGTGCGCGCGCGCGTGTGTATGTGATTGCATTACATAACTTTCTTCCATACAGTAATGCTGTATCACTGTGACAGAACTGGCAGGTGAAGGAAGGTTCAATCCCCACGATCTCCTCTCCGAGGCGCAGTAATCTAGCGTTTGTCAGAGTAGGAAGTGCAGTTTGCGGTAACAGTGAATTGAAAGTACGCCATAAATATGGCGCCAAAAGAGTTTTCAAGCTGATGATAAGAGCTGATTTTTCTCTCATTCTGTGTTGTCTTTTTTATTTTTTTCTTTCCCGGGGGGTGGGAGGGAGAGGGCTAGCAAGAGAAGACCCGCCTGTGCATTTGTGCAGAGCGGTGTGCACGTACACAGCACCGGGCAGAGGAGTGGAAGCGAGGCAAGGCACCGGAGCAAGTGAAGAAGACGAGGAGGAGAGAGCGCTGTGTTTTATTTTTGAAGGAAGGGGACGTTGCGAAACTGGCTTGCAATATTTACTGACTCATCGCTTGGAAATAAAGCAGACCCTTTTTTCTTTTTCTTTATTTCGTTTTCTTTTTAAATCCTCGCTTCTCCTCCTGCTCCTCCTCCCGTGCGGCTGGCACCGGAGAGGAAAACAGTCGGATTTTGACACCACGTTTGGGGTTGCTTTTTGCAAAATGCGACACGCTTTCCTGTGAGCGCTATGTTGTGCGCACCTCGCAGCCCGTTACGCCGTGAACGGTAGCAGGACCGGCCGCTGCACCCGCTCCGTTTGTTATTGACTTGTGGAGGCTGTATCTCATCCTGGCTGCCACTTTTTTTGGCTGGGGGGGGATTTTTATTTCGGATTTGGACTCGGTCGTAGGTCTTTGCAGAGCTGACGCGCTGTCAACACACCGAGAGGTGAGGTGAGGTGAGGGGAGGGGAAGGGACAGTCCTGTCACCTAGCGTGGACCAGGAGCCAGCTTTTTTAGCTGCACTGCTAACAGCCTGCCAGGGCACCGAGTGGGCACGCTGAATTAGTCCTAAACCGCCTCCGCTGTTGAACTACATGTGCCTGGCTCCCAATGATCTCCTAATCTCTGGGAATCGCCCGCCGTCCAGGACTGAGGACGTCTCTGTACCCGAAGCAGACAGCGATCAAGGTAAAATAAGAAATAACGCTGATTTAGTAAAAAAATAAATAAATAAAAGTAGAAGAAAATAAACATCCGAAGTCCACTTTGCTGCTGCTGCTAGTGCTATATCAGAGCTAGGCTAGCAGCTGTGTACGGACTTTCTCGCAGCGGACTTGTGAGTTACAGTCGCGGCTGTGGCGCTCCGCCAGTGAGCGGGGCAAACGGGTCCAGGAGAGGTGGCGATGTTGTGGGTGAGGCGTGGGGATATGCGCTTTACGTGTTGCAGTGAAGAAAAGACAAACAGCGCCTTTGAAAGCAGAGCCGGTGCACTCACTGCAGGGACATGAAATTAACCGGGGAAACTCGGGCCATGTTGTTGTGCTTGAAAAATGTGACGTAAACGAGCCAGCTCCCCCCGTGGGAATCAAAAGAGTGCGAGCTGGTTAGTTGGAGCGTATCCAAGAGTGTGGTTATTGTTGTTATTATGCATTTATATTTTTTCGGGGCGTAATTGTTCGCGGCAGTGGGGTGAGTCGTGTGGGATATTTTAAATATAAACAATGAAAAAAAGAAAACTTGCGGGGGTGTTGAGGGTCGCACACATGGAGAGGCGCATGAGGTGAAGTTGTGAAGAGAGGAGGAGGTCTGGGATGGGGTGGGGTTGGGGTGTTGGTGGCACCAAACAATTTGCAGGCCCTGGGGATTTGCAGGTTTCTTCACTGCTCGGTAAATGGAGGGAGGGGGGTTCGGGCAAAAGGGACCAGCGGAAGCTGTACTGCTTTTAGGAAGGCTGGGCACGCAAGCATACACACATCAAGGAATTAGAGCAACTTCTCTCTGCCCCCTTCACCCCATCCCCCTTCCTCCTGCTTCGTGCTGTGCTGATCTAGCTGGCGTCAGAAAAAGGGGGGGGCTGTTGTTTACCTCTAAGTCAGAGCTCTCTCTGAGTGTGGCAGATGCATTCATACCTGGAGGGGGGGAAACAACAACACCACCAGGACATGACACGTGGATGCAGATGGTGATGCTGCAAGTCAGATGTCTGCAGGATTAATGTGTTATAACTGGGGCATTTGCCTCCTGTGTGATTTTTTTTTTTTTGTGGCCACCTACTCTTCAACATTTGCCTGGAGCACCTCCAAAGAACACAAGTATATCTGCCTATTAGTGCTAATTATTAATGGATGGAGCAATTTATCAATTTTTTTTTTTTAGTTCAGAAAGGCTGAAGTGGCTCTAGCGTTGAATCAATTGAATTGTCTGGAGATTTGTTAGATGTTCCCAGTAGTGACAGCCTTCCCTCCCACATGTGCATCATTATCATCATCATCACGATCGCCACTTGCAAGCAAGACCTGTGCACATATGCCAACAACTCCACGTGCTTCATGCCTACTCTGATCCTCAAGTATGGATGCAGGTAGCGATTACACAGATGCGCACAAATACATACCTTCACCTCAGATTGTCTTCCTCACACAAACACAAACACAGACACACAACCGTCCTCCTCCCGCTGGGTATGAAACCGGAGATGAGTCACGGTGTGTGGGGGTATAACAGCTCTCTCTCTATCCCTCTAGCCCCTTCTTAATTTTTTTTTCATATCTTTTTCTGATGCAGTGCTATCTTGTTCTCACTCATGCTCATTTCTCTCCCGCTCCCCACCTTCCCTCCCTCGGGTCTCTCTTCGCTCGCCTAGAGACAGTGGTTGTTTACAAAATCCGCGAATGGGGATGAGTGCTGTTGTTATTTTGCTTCCACATTTTTGATGACAGCCCTCCAGCCAGTCGTCTGTATTTCAGTTGCTTCTTCATCTTCCATTGCTCCATCTCATTCAACTCTCCCTCTCTTTCTGTACTCCATCCACTCTTTTGTGCTTTTCTCCACCAACTTCTCCATCATCCATCCATCGATCCATCCATCGTACCGCCACTCCCTTCACACCATGTCATTTGCAGACCTTTTAAGCCTCACATGTGCCCGTACTCACACGTGTGTCTAGGCGTGGGTGTAGTGTTGCGTGTGTGTCTGTGAGTATTAGTGTCTGCTGCGTTAAGCGCTCAGCTCTGATTGGCTGGAAAAGGGGGTAAGGTCCCCCACGTGGTGTGTTGTATCGCATTAGCTGTCTACGTAGGTGATGATGAGGAGGAGGAGGAGAGATGCTGTTCATGAATGGACGGCTGACGTCACTTAAACCGTACCCTCAATCCGTCACACACACACACAAATGGATGTTTTTACGCACATCGCTGATGAAGGCTGCGAAAGCGTGTATAGTTTTTGTTGTTGTTGTTGTTGTTGTTTTTTAAGAGTTAGATTTGGAGATTTGTCGTATAGGAAGGATGGGAACCAGCTGAGCGTGTGTGTGTGTATGGCCGCCTTCAGGCGTGTTGGCTAGCTGTCATGTTCATAGCTCTCTGCTCTGATCTGCTTAGTAACCAACTAACTAACCCAGCAGCATGTGGGCTACTAGCTGAGGAGGATTTGTGTATCTGTGTCACAATACTGTAACTGTTCAGCTGAAATTTCTTGTAGTTTGAGACGATTAAACATTCTTAATTTTTTTCATTATTATTGTTACTTTGTGTTTCCTACATGCTTTTTCACAGCACTATTTATATATTTGCCCCCTCCCTGATTTCTTCGTTTTTGCATACTTGTCACATTCAAACGTTTATCATTAGACAAAGATCAGAGTAAATGCAAAATGCAGTTTTTCAATGGTGGTTTAATTTATTAAGGGATAAAAAAGATCATTCAAAACCTACCCTCTGTAAAAATTGCCCCCTAAACCTAATAACTGGTTGTGCCACCGCCACCCTTGGCAGCATAAATTGCAATCATGCGTTTGAGATACTCACCAATGATAGTCTTTTACATCACTGCGGAGGAATTTTGGCACACTCTTCTTTCCAGAGTTATTCGAGGCTATTTCGGCATGAACAGCCTGTCTAGGGTCGTGCCGAAGCATCTCAATTAGATTTAAGTCCGGACTTTGACTGGGCCACTCCAAAACATTCATTTTGTTTCTTTTGTTTTTTGAGATATTCAGAGGTGAACTTGCTGGTGTGATCATCAGTTACAGCAAAGTGTCCAGGTCCTGAAACAGCAAAGCAGCCCCACATCATCTCACTACCGCCACCATGTTTGACTGTTGATATGACCTGACCTTAACTGAGGCAAATAAGACCAGCAGTCCTTTAGATGTTGTTTGGGTTCTTTTATGACAACCTGGATGAATCGTTGATGAGCTCATTTGGTAGGTGGACCATTACTGGGAAGGTAATACCACTGTTGACTGTCGCTGTGGTTTATTGAAGTAATAAAGTCTTAGAAATGCTCAACAGGTCTGGCACTAAGACTGGCAGCTGCTTGTAAAGTTGAACTCAGCTTTCCAAAAAAATATGGTTAATCAGTTTTTTTCATGATTTAATATGAGGAGTGGCACAATTAATTTTGGATAACTCAGGTTTGGATAACTCTTAATAAATGAAATCAGCATTTAAAAGCTGTATTTTGTATTTAACTGGAATATTAAAATGTGTCTGATGATGACAAATTTAAGACAAATATGCTAAAAAAATCAGGAAAGTAGAAAATACTTTTAACAACAAAAACTTTAATGTTTTATTCAGAATAAATTCATATGTGGAGTTGCCATTAGTTCACTTACAGTTTAGCTTAGTTCAGATTGTGTTAATTAGTTTGTCCTGCACAGATTTTTGTCGTGTCTTAGAGGTTTTGCAGCACGAAACAAACCATGTGTTGGCTTAAATGCTGCAGGCATGTTTTTATGCATTACCCTGATGTGTTCTGTCAGTGTTTGCTCGAAGCAGATGACCCCGCTGTGGCCTAGAACCTCATTAGCGGCTTCTTGTGCGTGTGCATGCGTGCACATGCTAACCTGCTGTTCTGTGAGCAGGAGATGACGTCAGACTTCAAGGGGAGAGGGGGTGTTTTCATTTTTATATATTTTTTTCTCGTGTCACTGTGAGTCAGCCTTGTTATTAAGGGATAATTGCAAAATCTGCACACCTGCAAAGAACACTGGCGAGGAGGAAAATGTGGAACATATTTCAAGAGAAGACTTTTGCAGGAGTAATTGGAATGTGCTTCCTAACTGTTTGGTCTGCAAAACCTGTCCCTTGTTGACTGAATGAGAGCAGTGGATGCTGCGGTGCACCAGATGTTTTTTCAGAAAAATTAATGATGCTTTTTTTTTGTTTTGTTTGTTTTTTTGTTACATTTTACAGGAAAGCCTTTTTGAACAAAAACTGTGTCGGGAAAAAAAACTTGTTATTATAATTTTTTCATATCAGTGTAATGACTATTTCTGTCAAACTTAAATGTAGAGCATTATAAAATTATATTTTAAATAAAAAAAACATAGGTATATATAGAACCTGCTATTGTTTTTTGTTTTTTGTTGTTTTTTTTTACCCTGGATGTCCTTTCCGATGCAGCTCCAAAAGGATTTGTGACAGACTGAACGTGGGGTCTTTGCTTGTTTGGAAATTTTGTGTGAAACCACAGATGTAGGTCTGACCGGTCGAAAGCTTCAAGTCTTACGGGAGAACACAAACAAAATGGAAAAATAAATTATGTGATTAGTTTAAAATAAGCAAAGTGGGTAAATTCAAGAAAAATTCACATGTAAACAAAGGAGAAAATAAGCAAAAATGAGCTATTCATTCAGCTCTGGTCCTCTTATGGCAGGACTGTCTCAACGAAGTGGGCAGTCAGGATTATATATGGACTAGATGTGTGACCGGATCACAGATCTGATGTTGGAGTGTCGCTCGCACTCCTGACATACTTGTATACTGTGTACAGCTGCAGTGGCTGCTGGATGCATTAGTCTAACCTGTTATGGCTCTAACTCTATACCCATCACATCAATGGTTCAGCACTGTGCTGCTCTCGTTGTCATTGGCCTTTCGTGTTGTCTGTCAAAACATGGTTTGAATGACTTCTGTCGACTTTATATTGGCCGTCTCATGTTGTAATTGAGTAAAGCTAGTTCA